TGGGGGGGGGGGGGTGTGTGTGTGTTTAGGAAGTCTAACTGGAGAATAAAAAGACATTAGCGGATCTTGACTGAAGATAAAAAATCATTGTGTTGACTAAGTTATCTTGGCTTCTAGCTTGTTGATTTGTACAAGAACATGTGTTACTTAGTTTATATTCATTTTATGATATTTTTTCAAGAGATAAAGATCTTGATAGAGTTAATTTGTTGCTATCTAGAGAAAAAGCTTCTGTGAGCTGTATTATGTTACGAAGTACTCGTGATTCTATCTGTGAAAGGAAGAAGCCTTGCAGGTTGTACAATAGCTTATAATGATGGTGCCAAAGAAGTATATGATGGATGCATAATGGCAGCACATGCTCCGAATACTCTGAGAATGTTAGGGAAAGAGGCAACATATGATGAAACAAGAATACTGGGTGCATTCCAGTATGTCTATAGGTACTTTCAACTCCTTTATTTGAACACCTTGGACTTGTTTTATCTTTAAATTTACTTTATATGTTTTTGAAAAATTCATCCATACATTGACATCACTAATGTGGTTTATCTTCCTCTGAAAAGGTAATAAATGCATAGCCCTATTTTGTACTTTAGTGAAGTTTAGTTAAAATGCTTGAGAAATTCGTTTTAACTTATTTCTCTTGCTGATGCTGTGTGGTTTGATAAATTCGTTTTAACTTATGTTACGTTGATTGGACCATATTCAAGATATATGATGTCCAAATATAAAATCATTTTTTCTTTCTCTATGACAGCGATATTTTCCTTCATCGTGACAAAATATTCCTGCCTCGCGACCCAAACAAGGTCAAATATCACAGGATTATATCAATGTGAGCTTTTATCCTCTACATCTTGGCATATTGTATTACATACTATATGTCAAGCCAGTGTTACGATTGAACTAATTTAATTTTCAACGGGATGATAGAACATGTTGGTCATGAGTTTATGGATGAATTCTTTACTTGCTGCGAGTCTGCATTGGCAGATGATGGGATTCTAGTTCTGCAGGTATTGAATTAAATTGATCCTTTAATACAGTCCACTTTGTTCACTTTTTCCCTTCAATTTCCTTCATTGTCCTATCGTTCTTGTTTCTTTATGCTTCTTTTCACAAGTGATGGCTTTTCTTAGTTCGTTTCAATACCAGATGAGAGGTATGACGAATGCAGGCATAGCATAGAATTCCTAAAAGAGTATATATTCCCAGGTGGATGCTTGCCTGCACTAAGTCGAGTAACATTAGCCATGGCTGTTGCATCCAGACTATGGTAAGAAAGAGTTCATTATGTGATTTTGCACCAATGTTATCACAGGCAAAAGGCGCAAAAAAGCTCTAAGTTCTATTGGGCCTTTAAGTGTAAAGCGCAAATAAAGCGTGGGCTTTAATGAAGAAGGGTGCAAATGGAGAAAAATGACAAAGATGTATGTGTAGTCCAAAACTAATATCTATAAGCATGAATACCAAATATATGGACAAAGAAATAGAAGAATATTTATGATAAAGTAAAATATCAATTGTTTAGTATCGCCTCTTCAGGATTACGCTCATTGGCCAAAAAAAGTATGTCTTAGGGTCTTGATGACAATACTGAAGTGCCGCCAAGTGAGGTGAAGCGCTCAACATGTTTTATGCCTCACTTCAGGACTTAAACGCGCCTTTGATAACGTTGTTTTGCACTATATCGTGTGCTTGTCACTTTTTCAAAAGCATTTCTCTCTGAAAGCATTTGATAAATGATATAAATGCATTGTAGTGCACCTCGAATAAATCACTTGTAGAACACACCGTATGAAACAATATAAGTAGTTTCTTTCTCCGGACCTTTTATAGTTCCTTGGAAATTGGAGTTTATAAGTTTGAATCTGTTTATGAAATTATTTTGAGTCTTCACGGATAAGATGCGACTCCGTTTCTATTTAGATAAAATAGCCCTGAGCTATCGAGGCTGAGGGGACTAAACAAGCCGCCAAGCTGTCTTTACAAAGAGAACTTCATTCACTTTTTTTCTTTCCCCTGTGTTGTGGTTGCTAATGTTTGTAGTCTTAATTTCCCTCTAGTGCAAGATTTTATTATTGTTTCACTACTTATTGATGTATATTAATACTTCCAGGCTATGACTTCCATGAGGATGCACTAAAGGTAGTACTACTTTTGCTAATAACACGCTCAACAGATTTTAACTTGAAGTATCACCTTACTCTGAAAACAATTTGAAGTCTTTTCTAGCTTTTGTTGTCCCTTTAATGTCATGTGGATGATTATCTACGTTTGCTCCTCCTCAGGTAGGTGTGGCTGCTGCAGATGGCATGCTTAGAAGGAATTGTAGTATTCTGGACAACCCCAAGCACATGGTACCAACCTGGCCTGAAACAGGAGCACGCCTCGTCGTTACAAGATTTTTCAGAAGTTTCATTAAAACGGGATGTATAATATGAGTGATGATAGTTTCACCTTGTATTGCTTTAATCCCAAGATAGTGGCAGATGCATATCTAACAACTTGTTTATTTCCATCTATCCTATTTCTTATGCTAGAAAGGGTCAAAATTACCCTTGAACTATCGAAAATAGAGCATTTTGCCCTCCCTTAGTTCTTCGTGTCAAAAAGTTCCTTGCCGTCTAAACATTGGGCCATACTTACCCTCAAAACTAACGGCTGTCCTCTGGAGCTTCTAGACCTATTTGAATACAGTATATTTGCTGACATGGCTGTCCAACATAAAAACAGACACGTCGCCATGAATCATAGCTGAGAATCCTAAAGGAACATCATTGTTAGACCAACGATGCCCTTTTCGAGGAGGAATACCATTGCTACCTCGAATCACATTTTCCCTCATAAAGTTAGACACAACTTTTGGACAATTCACATCTACTTCCTCTATGGATGTATTCTTCAAGCTAGAGTTAGCCGACACCATCAATGACTCGCTAGCAGGAACATGGCTCAATGAAGGCAAACAATTATTCAAGAAAATGCTCGTTTGAGATATCGATCTCGCATGAGAAGCTCCTAACTCCATCAGACAACTCAAATTTTCAGATCCTGGGAAAAAACCTAAAGAGACTACTTAAAATCCAATGACCTTATTAAAACTCAATCCAATTCATTTAATTAGTTTTAGTACAGAACAAAAACCCTAACAAAGAATGAACAAGATAAAGCCATTGATTTGCAGAAACAGCTAGTGGGTTCGAGCAGTAATGGGAAGATCGATGTGGAGGGAGTGGGCGAGGTCCAGCAAATATATTGTAATTGAATATTATTTGGAGATTTTGAGTTTTTTATAAGTTATAGAATAAGTAGGAGTAAGACTGTATACATGCACTGTAATTAGTGAACAAAGTTGAGGTGAGACTAGATGGGATTGCAGTGTCAACATGCAAACAATTTAGATATCTAGGCTCGTTGTTTTAAGAGAATTGAGTGATAGATGAAGATGTTATCCATGGGATTAAAACAGGATGGTTGAAACAGAGAAATGCTACCTGAGTGTTACATGATAGAAGGATGTCTACCAAAGTGAAAGGTAAGCTTTATAGAACAACTATAAGACCGACAATGTTATATGGTAGTGAATGTTGGGTAGCTAAAGTCCCACATATCCACAGGATGAGTATTGCAGCCATGCGAATGCTAAGATGGATGTGCGGTCATACAAGATTTAATAAGATTAAAATGAAGACATTTGCCAGAAGGTGTAAGTAGCAAGCATTGCGGATAAAATGAGAGAAGGTCGCTTGAGATGGTTTGGTCATGTCTTGCATCGCACTACAGATGCACCGGCCTGTAGGTGTGAACTATGGTGAATGAAGGTGTTAAAAAGGGGCAAATTAGACATAAAATTACATGTAAATACGTTGTCTCAAAAGACTTATAAATCATTGGAATCATGCAACTTAGCTAAAGGGAGGCACAATGGAGGAAAAATATCAATGCAGGTGATACTTACTAGTTAGGAATAGGCTTTGAAATTTTACTTTTCTTGTTATTGTTACTATTACTTATATATATTTAACTTAATTTCACTGTAACTCTTATTTTATTTTGGCATGATGCAATATGAGTTAAGCAAGAAGTGAGAAGTCATATCGCCGACTCCATCTTTGTTTGAGACTGAGTGTTAGTAGTAGTAGTTGTTTCTTCTAAATGTTAAAGATATCTAGATAGTTACTTTATATTTTGCGATATACAGCTTGTTTGAAGAAGGAGGTACAGTTTTCACCTTCCAAGGAATAGAGAGGAAATGCTCTCTGAAAGTTTCTCTTAGAATTCATAGTCCGTAGTTTTACTGGAAGGTAAATTCAAATTCTCTTTTGTCTCCTTCATGTTATCAACTGATAAACCCATAAGGAAAAACTCAATCCAAATCCTGAAAAATTCTGTGATATAGATTGCAACTAAAGCTGACATGGGCCTTGCTGATGCTTTTATTCATGGGGATTTCTCTTTTGTTGACGCGAATGAAGGTCTTCTTAATCTTTTCATGGTAAGAAAATGACTCAACATCTTTGTAAATAGCTATTTATACTTAGCTTCCTGAAATTCTTTTTCAGATATTTGTTGCCAACAGAGATTTGAAAGCATCAGTCACAAGGTCTAGTAAGAAAAGGTAAGTAGTTTATAGAAACTGAAATCAGGAAATTGCAACTTATGTTCATACCTTAGAAGTTTTACACTCATTTATCCTCCAGAGGCTGATGGACACCATTGCTTTTTACAGCTGCAGTATCATCTGCAAAATATTTCGTTCGACATGTTTCAAATCGAAACACCTTGACTCAGGCTCGTCGGAATATCTCCTGTCATTATGACCTGGTAAACAACTTGTGCATATTATATCACCCGAACTATGTAGGGGATGT